CACATTTTGCATGTTTCTTTTCCTTCAATTTTGTGTCTTATTCCTGATCCTGTCGTCGTAGTCCATTCCAGTATCCCTGCCATTCTTAACTGTGCTATTATTCTTTTAGTTGCTAAAGGGATATTTAGTTTCAAATAGTCTGCTACATCAGCTGATTCCAAATTGAAAAAATACAAGTTAAAAACTGGAAACCCACGCACTATACATATGTTGTGCTATAAAACTTAGAAAGCGATGCTACAGATGCCCAAAATGCAAAAATGATACGGAACGATGTTACGAAGATGTGATATAAGTGGTTACCTTCCAATTCTACCGAAACTTATCAAATTTTTCTTACATTACTCATTAGGTAAAAACAAAATATGGTTCATCGTTGGAGGGTCTCCGTACCAATTCCATAGTAGGTTTATTCATCGACGAGGACAACAGGTTACGGTTGATCGTGAACGGCGTTGATCAAGGCGTAGCCGCGACGGATCTACCTCCCTACGTTTACGCCGTGTTCGATTTATACGGACAATGCGAGCAGGTTTCCATCGTCGGTAGCAACGCAACGGAGCCATTTTCGTCTTCCGCCGCCGGTAACAGTTCAACATCCGCTGAATGTATCCGGACGAAGTTAGAAGACGCGGAGAACTCGAGGGAAAAAGCGGATCTTGAATGCCACGAGAAGGAAAACGTCGCCACTGCGGCATCCTCGGACATGTCTTCTTCCACCTCGCCGAGCGCCCCGAGCCAGTGCAGTTCTAACGCGAAGGACGACGACGTGCTCGTCGAATACGAAACGTGTGACAACGAGAACAATACCGAGAACAAGCCAAGTATGTCCGATAGTAATAATTTGGACTCGAACTCGGACGCGAGAACCATCAAGGACAAGGCGAACCAACTGAATAACGACACGATGTTGAATAGCCAGGAGAATCTTAGAAACGAGTGTACAAATGTAGAGATAAACAACGCGACTAACATTAATATTAGGAACGGTACCGCGAACAGCGTCAGTAATATAACGAACTCGAACTCGAACGCGAACAACGCGATAAACGAAAGCATAGCGTCCAATAGCCAAGGGAATAATTTAACCGCGTCGAATAACAACGCGTCATCCGTGAACGCGTTAACATCGTCGCAGACGTTCTCTTCGCAGAACGCGTTGCTGAGCAACGCGGCTTCGGACATTTCGAACACCGTGTCGTCCAGTTTCAACGATCTCCGCTCGAATTCGTGGAACAACGTGGATAATTCGCATAGTGCGCCATCGCTGCAGTTGCTGCAGGCACCGTCGCTGCCGTCCACACCTCTTGGGACGATTGTCCTGCCTTCGAAGAAGTGCGAATATCTGAAAGCGTGCACGAGGCTCAAGAAGTCGCTAGTACTTCCAGACGAGTTCTTCTCGTTGGAGGATGCGCTGTGTTATTGCAATAACTGTTACAAACCGGAAAGGGACAGTGCAGTCTGCAAGAAAGGCGAGCCACCGGCGGAGTTCGCTGTGCCCATCGGCTGGACTAGGTTCCCTCTGAAGCAGAGTATTAATGCGAATCAAATTCCGCATAGTACGACCGACAAGTGGCATGTGGCTTTCTATGGCATACGCCTCGACGCGATTAGGTATGTTATTATTATATTATTATTGGATGAATGTAAAAGTGTGTAGCCATCTTGAAATCAGGGATTGAGAAGATTCCGAAAACAGTTATGACTTTTTTCTGACTGAAAAAGTTACAGAAAACCAAAAAAATGCCATAACTGAATATATCGGCACTGACTTATAGCTTTTTCGGTTTCGGTTCTAAAGACCATATTGGTACCATAAATGTTATTATTCGGTTTTGTATTTCTGTTCTTCGTTTTGACTACAGTTGTTTAAGTAATAAGTACATATTTTCTGTAGTCACCGAAAAATTTATATGTAATAAACATACACATACAGGATGTCCCAGAAAAAGTGTTAAGAGCCGAAGAGAAGTGATTCTGTGAGTGTTTCTGAACAACAATTTCTTTTACCGAAATGCAAAATGAAGCATGGTTTTTAAATTATTAACGAAAAACTCTAACCAATAAGAGAGCGAGTAGGGCTGCGCTGACCAATGGCCGAGCGTCAAGATCTAAGTCAACCTACCCTCGACTGGGCGCGAGCCCTACGCGTACTCATTAGTCAGTATTTTTCATTAATAATTCAAAAATTATGACTCATTTTGCATTTTATCAAAG